TGAAGACGTTTGGAGAGGATCGAAGATTTGGATGCTTTGGGGATTTTTATGGTTGTAACCGGCCTCGAACAGTCGGGGATAGTAGAAGAATTCAGAGATTAATTGACAATGATGGTAATGTGAAAGTCCCACAAAAGTGTATTGAATAATCCGCTCAATTAGACACTTCGATCCCTCAAGGTGGCTACAAGTGAATCTCAAGCCATATGGCGTTCGTGCAGGCCTTACAAAGACTCCCACCCTCACCCGTGATAACGTGGTGCCAAACCACATAGAAATTTTCATTTCCCACCATTCAGACGGTGGACATTTTGGGAATAACTGATGATGATGATATTTTTGTTGGCTATTGAAAAAACTGCAATATTTTCCGAACATATTGTCGCTTCCGAGAAAGGAATTGTAGATACATATCTTCGGAAGACGAAGAAATCGTTTAGTTCCAGGTTAGAAGTTTAAAATGAAACAGAGAAATTATGCACCACAAGTTTGGTGCTTTCGACGGTGAAAAATCCAGGATAAATCGAACAAAGGAATTCCGAATCTGTGTGACATGCGCATTCGTAGATAAATAACCAGTGTAAGCAACTATAAGGGCTACATTTTTATTTAATACTCATCTAATGATTCTTCACTACTTAAAATGATAACACCAATTGTCTGTCAATAGATAGCTCGTGATTATATGATCATAATAGACCGTAGGCAGTGGGCAGGCAGGTCAACAAACGGCTCAAGCATAACGTCACATCAGAATGCGGTCAGGCAGGCATTCAAATAGCCAACGAATCAATCAGCGAAGACAGTTGAATACTAACACCGGATTGGCTAGAACCGATCGATACTGTAGTGGGGTCAGTCCGCATGTCGTGAGTGCGTGCGTGTGTTATAGCAGGCAGCATCTGTCACTCAAGCAGTCGATCAATCAATCCGGCTACACATATGTATGACAAACGTATCAGTCAATTGTAGTCCACAACAGCAGCCTAGATGGGTCTACCATTGTGTAGTTTGAAACAGAATGATTACGTTACTCACTTTGAATCCACTGGTCACTGAGATGACTGAAACAGAACGCAGAAAAAAACAATTCACTCAACATGTGCCGAAATTATCCGAACACAATAAAGTCATTCATGCTCGTTTTCATGCATCACATTCACTGGACAAAAAGAGCGAGTAAAACAGTTCAAAGACCATTCGATCGAATAATCTTACCTCAGGCTCCCGAAGATTGATGATCCACTCACGTGGCGAGTGACAGCCCATACCTTATGCAAAATGCTTATCCCTTTGCTGAATGGAATGTGGTTGAATCCAGTATCACTAGTG